CTCCCTCCCAGCGCTAGCACCGGCCGCAGCCACGCACCACTCCCCCTCATCCCGTATCTCAAAGTGCTGGCCCGCGTGGCTCCAGTAGAAGGCGGTGGTGTGGGAGTTGGCGATCCACATGAAGCCCTTGGAGCGAAGCACGGTCTTAATGGGAGAGGCGCCTGCGCGGGGTGTGGAGGCGCGGCGAGGAGGAGGGAGGGTGGAGGGAGGCGGGAGGTCGGCCGGTAAATGAGGGGGGCCGGGAGGCGAGGCGCGGCGAGCGGGTTGCAGGGGCGGAGGGCGCAGCGGAGGCGGCGCGGCGGCATGCGACAGGCGCCGCAGCTGCCTGGGCCGCGCCGCGGCCGCCGCCCACCCTGCTCCGGAGCGGCGTCGCCGATGGCCTTGTTGTGGGACACCGGCATCCACCGCAGCACCAAGTCCTTGAGCCTGCGGGCGCCACCAGGGTGGGGCGGGGTGGCGAGCGGAGCGGCAGCAGGCTCGACGCGGCGGCCACTTTGGCACGAGGCCAGGGCCGCGCAGCCAGCCAGTGCTGGGGCGTGGGGTGCACCGCAGGGGCCAGCCAGGCGCAGGGAGCGAGCAGCGGGCGGAGCGGCAGGCGCAGCAGAGCTTGGAGCGAAAGTCCCGCCCCGGGGGCTCTCACCGCTGCGGGTGGAAGGGCCGGCGCCGCGCGTAGACGAAGCTCTTGATGCCAAACCGCTGCGCCGCCGTCGTCTCCTGCCGCTCCTGCCGCTTGCGCCCGTGCCCGTGCTCGCCGTGGTGGTGGTGGTGATGGTGGTCGTGGTCGTGGCCTGTGCCAGCAGGCAACCAGGGGAGTCAGGGGGAGGTCTCGCTGCTGGCAGGCATGCCCAGGGTGCAGGCATGCCCTGGCGAGCTACCAGCGCCAACCAGGCATGTGGGGGGTGCACTGCAGGGGGCGGGGCAAGGGGCGCCTCACCCTCGTGCTCGCAGGCCTGGCAGTCATCATGCTTGTGCCCATCCTTGCCGTGGCTGTGCTCGTGCTGGTGCTCGTGGTGGCCGTGGTGGTGGTGGCCGCCGCCGCCGTGCTCGTGCTCCTCGTGCTCGCAGGCCGCGCCGCCGTTGTGCTTGTGGTCGTCAGCATCGTGGGTGTGCTCGTGCTCGTGCTTGTGGTGGCCGTGGTGGTGGTGGTGGTGGTGGTGGTGGTGGTGGTGGTGGTCGCCCTCGCCAGCCTCTGCCGCCTCCGCCTCATCCTCGGCCTCGAGCGTCTTGGCGGCGGCCACCGCGCCCCTGCAGCACAGCACGCCGGGCGCGCGCGGGACGGCGCGGGGCAGGGTGTGTCAGCTCTGCCTGTATAGCTGTGCATTGCACTCTCCCAGCTTCCAGCCTTGGCTCCACAGGGGTCATCCAGGGGGCTTGCTAGCGCGGGTGCCCCACCACACACCAACGCACACTCACACTGCGCGCATGCACACTGGCCCGTGACCACCTTTGCCCCTCCCCTGCACCACTCATCGACAGCCAACAGCCAGCCAGCAGCGAAACCACGCCCACCTGTGCTGCCCCTCTATGTTCAGCTTGGACACCAGCCCCTGCGCCCCCCTGCCGAACAGCTCCTGGATGGGCACCGCCCCCTGGCTGCACTGCTTCACCTGCGGCGGTGCAGGGAGCGCGGGGCAGGGGGCCCAGGTCGGAAGCGGGGCCGAGGGCGTGGCCGGCGCTGCGACCGCCGGCCCGCCAGGCAGCGAAGCAGGCGCGGGGCAGCTGCGCGCCAAGGCCGGGCAGGCACACAAGCCACGCACCCGCTGGGGTACAGGACAACCACAGCAGGAGCAAGACAGCACCAGCAGCGGCAGGGGCAGGGGCGGCAGCAACAGCAGCGGCAGCAATGGCGGTGGCGGCGGCAGAAACGGCGGCAGCGGCATCAGCAGCAGCCCCACCTGCGCCAGCGGGTTGAGCGCGGCCACGATGGCGGCCAGCGAGCCCATGGTGCCCTCGCTCATCATGTCCACCTTGTTGAGCACCACGTAGTCGGCCACCCTGCGGTACGGTGCGGTACGGTGTGGTACAGTGCGGTACATGTGGGCGGTACACGTGCAGTACTTTCAACACGGCGAACCGCACACAGCAGCAGCAGCAGCGGCGGCGGCGGCCCGAGCAGCAGGGGCAGCAGGCAGGCAGGCAGGAAGGCAGGCAGGCCTCCTCAGCCCCCGCCCTCACTCGATCTGCTCCACCAGCAGGTCCACCACGGGCCGCAGGCTGCCGCCGTCGCCCAGGTCGGGGCGGGCGGCCAGCGAGGAGCGGGAGGAGTAGTCCTGGATGAAGGTGTGGCTGTCCACGACTGCAGGCGGAGGCAGGGACGGGCAACGCAGCCAGGCGGGCGAGAGGGACGCAGCCAGGTGAGAGGGACGCAGCCAGGCAGCAATAGAGCCCTGCCCACGTGCGCACCCATGCACGCCGCTGGACACACCGCCACACCCAGGCACGCTCCCCGCTCCTGCCCCACCCCCACCGCCGCCCCGCCCACCCGTGACCAGCGTGTCGAGGTATAGGCGCCTGGTGAGCGGGTTGCCCTCGGCGACGGCGTCGTTGAACTGGTCCCGTATGTTCTGCGGCTCCGCCACGCCGCTGTTCTCCAGGATGATCCTGCGGGGGAGGCAGAGGGGGGCGGAGGGGGCAGAGGATGATCCTGCGGGGAGGCAGCGGTGCACGTGTGTGCCTGCGCGTGCGTGGCTGGGACGGGGAGGGCAGCGGCTGCGTGGGCGGGCTGCACATGCCTGGCAGGCAGCAAAGCAGCAGGACGGGAGCGGAGCGGGGCCAACAGGAGCGGCAGTAGGAGCAGCGGAACTGCGGCAGATGGCTGGCAGCGGGCGAGAGCAGAGCAGCCGAGCGATGGCAGCAATAGCTGGAGCGGCGGAACAGAACGGCGGGCGCTGCCCACCTGTCGTACGGCACGCCGCGCTTGTCCGACAGGGCAATCAGGTTCTCGAAGCTGGAGAAGAGCTCGTCGGCGATGCTGCAGCAGCCGGGCGGCAGCGCGGGGCAGATCAGGCGGGGCAGCCGGCACGGCGGCGGTTGAAGACCCGCGGGGCCGCCTGTCGCGAGGCGCGGCGCGCTGCTGTGCAAGCACGGCCGCAGCAGGCTGCCGAGAGCGTCCGGAGCTGCCCCGCCCTAAGCTCCCGTTGCCTCCCCTGCCGCGCACTGCGCCCACCTGCAGCAGGCGCAGCCGTTGGCCAGCTCAATCGTGTCGGCCAGGTCGGCGGTGGTGGCGGTGGCGGGCTGGCCGTCGCGGGGCGCCGCCGCGCCGCGGATCAGCTTGGCGTCGATGTTCACGCTGGCCACGTCGTTCACGATGCACCCGATCTTCAGGTCGCTGTTTTGCAGCACGTGGCGCAGCAGCGTGGTCTTGCCTGCGGCGGGGAGGGCGAGGGCGGGGCGGGGTGGCGGGTGGGTGACTCGCCGGGGCGGCAGGGGCCTCCCGCCTGCCTGCCTGCCCAGCGTGCGCCCCACCCCACCCCGCGCCCAGGAAGCCGCTGAGCATCGTGACGGGCACTGGCTTCATGCCGTCCCTGCAGACGAGGGTGGTTCTGCGGCTGATGAGCAGCCAGCGCGCGGTGGTGGCGGCGGCGGCGACGGGATGCAGCAGAGTTCCTGCTCACGCCAAAGGCGGCGGTTGCAGCGACGCGGTTCCTGCTTTCAGGGAGCAGTTCCCGACTCGGGAAGCACAAGGGCGCAGCTCCCGGCGCTGCCATTACGGCGGAAGCGTCTGGCATCCGAGGCAGCGGCTCTGGGCGGCTGGCAATTCTGGATCCGGGGCGCAGGCTGCCTTTGGCGCGGCCAACAGGGCAGGTGTGTGCAGACTCACTCCTGCGCCATGATCGATCGAAGGCGCTCCTCGCTGTAGACTACTATTCAAGCTCCCGCTTGGTGTGACTTCACACCGCGGGGGGTGGGAAAGGGAGAGGCGGAAGAGGGAAGGAGAGAGGAAGGGAGAACACCATCTGCGCTATCCCCAGATTTCTTGAGCATCTGGAGGAAGGAATTGGAGAAGTTGGCAACTCATATCATCCCCATCTCCCTTCATTCCGCTATCACCGTTGCGCATTGGTTACAGGGGAAGGAGGAGGCGAGCCCCTGATCATCTGGGCCCAGGCTGTGCCACCGCCTCCTGCCGCTCTGCGGCTCAGTAGTGCCTCGCTACATCGCCACATCGCTGCTGTAGCCAAGCCCCAGCTCCCACCCTAGAGAATGCAGACATGACAGCCCCATGCAACACAGGATCTGCATGGGGGCAGAGCTCGCCCAATCACCTTTCAGTGGCGACAGCGGCGGCCAGGCGGCAGCCCGCCCGGAACTGTCTCTCAACTCAACCGTGAGGATCGCATCAGCCTGCTTGCATTTGCCATTTGCACATTGGTGCCCGCAGGGCTCAAGGTGCACTGTGCAGCTCGTGACCTGCACTGCAACCAAGGACGAGGAGCGGCGGCGCCAGCCTGGCGGCCGCTGTGACAAGCTGTGGATATCTTACCATCCAGCGTCCCCCGCGGTTTAACATCAGTCATTTTCATATATAGCAACGCCCTACTGCCGCACAGACCGACATGGCGGCCTATGCATGTCGAACTGCTTGCCCGGCCTCCCGGCAGCACTTTACAGGGCCAGCATTGCGGTTGTTACACCGTGGGCAGCAGTCCAGGGCGCACGCCAAGGCCAAGCCGGAGGACGAGGGCCAGGCGGGAGACCAGCTGAGCGTGGCGGAGGTGGCCGAGCAGATTTTGAAGGACCCAGAGAACACAGCGCGCATGCAGCGAGTGACAGATGCGGCGCAGCGGGTGGCGGAGCTGCAGGCAGAGTCGGGGCGGCTGGCGGCGGCCATGGCGGAGGCCGAGGTGGCCAGTGCGGCGGGCGCAGAGCAGCGGGAGCGCGAGGCGCAGGCCTCAGCGGCAGCCCTGATTGCAGACGCCGAGGTGGCGGCGGCGGAGAAGCTGCTGCAGGCGGCGCAGCTGCAGGCGCAGTCGGCGGAGGCGGCCAAGGGCAAGTGGGCTGGCGACATTAACGAGGTGGGGACGCCTCTGCTGCAGGGCCGCCGGTGATGCTCTTCTGCACGCTGCTGGCAGCAGCGGCAGCACCCGACTCACTCGATGCATGCACGCCTGCTCCACCTGCCCGCAGGACGCCGAGCGGCTCGAGTCGGCCAAGGCTGCGGCCGCCGCCGGCGCCGCCGGCGCCCTGGCCAGCCTGCCGCTGGTGGCATCCGACGGCGGCGGCGGCGCCGCGGCGGCCGTGCTGGCCCTGGCCACCGCGGGGGTGGCCAGCGCGCTTCTCGGGGTGACCTACCGCTACGCTGTGTGCCAAGACCTGGCCAACACGCAGCTCAAGGTGCGTGGAGGGTGTGTGTTTTGGCGTGGGCGGTTGTGGGTGTGGATGGCAGCACACGGCTGGTGGCGCTGGCGCTCTCTGCCTGCTGAAAGGTCGTGAGGCCGTTATGGGGCTCGTTAGGGTGGTGTACTTGCCATGGCGAAGGCTCTGCTGGCAACCACCTGCCCACTTGCCCACTTGTTGCATCGACTGCTGCTGCGCAGGCAGGCGTGGTGGCGGCGTTTGGGCTGGTGCGGGGCCTGGGTCAGGCCAACGGCATCCTGGCCGGCGGCGGCGGCAGCAACCGCTTCGCGGGGCTGGATCTTTCGCTGGAGGCGCTCGGCGGCGCGGGGCTGGCCCTGGGGCAATGCATGCTGGTGGCGGCGTTTGCTGCGACTGCGGTAGAGGCGGGCATGCAGCGCGGGCTGGTCAAGCCCTTTGGCGCGGCAGCAGACGGCAGCGGCGACGGGGCCGGAAGCCCGTGAGCGTTTGGAGTTTTGATATTGTTGTTTCTCCATCTGTGCGATCTCCACATGATGCGAGCTCCCACACAGTTTTTCCTGATATCAATGATTGCAACAAGCGCCGGTTTTGGCTTTCAACCTCTTTCGTCCAGCGTTCGGCCGCCTGAACCGCATGCTGCCGGATGTAACTGTCCATACTTTCCCTCAGGTTACAGATGGCGTTTGGGGAGTGTGTGTGACTGTACCAGCCGTGGCTGCCGCTGGGTGGGGAGCCGAGGGCTGGCAGCAGCTGCGGCGGGCGGTGGGCGGGCGGGCAGGGTTTGACCCGTCTGCGGGCTTGCAGCACTGCCGTGGCGGCTGATCATGCATATGGGCTTCTTGGGATGGGCGAGCGAGCGTGGGCGTCCCTCAAACGTCTCTCCGCGTTGTTCATCCGACTGCCACGAGGCCCCACCGTGGCAACCCCATAGGGCTTTCTGGGAGCTCCCTCCCGCACCATCCGCCTCAATTTCTATCCCAGTTATTCACCCTGGGTGTATTCAGCTGTCAGTGAGCTGGGCTAGTGCGCCCAGCTCAGGCCTCAAAATGTGCTCTTGAGCTGCCCCAGCGGGCGCCATTGCCCAGGGCCTTACGGCCCAGAGATACATCTGGGGTCTCGACAAATGGCGCTGGAGAGGCCAGCAGCGTGGGGCACCGAGTTTGTTGAGCCCGCAGAGGAGCAGCGGGAGCGCGCCCGGGGCGCTCCAGGTGAGCATGGGCCCACGCGGGCGTGTGTGTATTGGGGGAGGGGCGTGGCAGTGGGGCGAAACAACTGGGCGCAACCCTGACTCGGGAGGCGCCAGCCAACAACCCCGAGGGCGGGCCGGGGGCCCTTTGCATCGGCGGGCCGCCCCTGATCCGTGTCTGGGCAGGATGGGGCCCATTGGTGCCCGCTGGGGCAGCAGGGCGGGCGGGTCAGCTTCCAACCCCATCAGCACCAGCGCCAGCGGTCGGTACGGCGGCGCACCGGCCACAGGCACATCCACACTCAGCCCCCCCGCCCCCTCTTCACCGCAGATGCACCTCCCGTGTGGAGTTTGGGCGGAGCACGGCCCGCGACCCCCCATGCAGCGGCCTTTGGGCAGGCAGACGGGCACGCAGCGCACGGCGCGGCGCCCACCTCGGCCGCGTGGCAACACCGCGCGGGCACAGCCACCGGCACCCCGCCAGCAGCCCGCCCCGCGGGCCTGTTCCGCAGCATACGCACCAGCTCAGGCTCGCTGACAGGCCTGCTGAGGCGGCCAGGCATGGCAGGAGAGCAGCGCAGCGCGGGCGGCAGCCCCGCGTCCCGCGGCTCGCCGCTGCTGTTTGAGCTGCGCGGCGCGGCGCTGCTGCCGCCAGAGCCGCCGCGGCCCGCCACCACTGCGGCAGCGGCAGCCTCGCCACCTGCCCGTCCGGGGGCGCACCAACCCCTCCACAAGGCGGCAGCGCCTCCTGCCTATAGCATCCATGCCTCTGCGGGGGACCGTGCTGCGTTTTCAGCGGCAGCAGGTCCCTCTCACGGCTCCCCAGCTCCGCAGCAGCAGCGGCGGCGGCAGCAGCAGCAGCCCGCGGTGGTGGTGGCAGCACATGGTCTGGACCTGGCAGCCAGCCCGCCGCCCTCGCAGCAACAGCAGGCGGCGGCGGCGTCCACGGCAGCCCTCAGCCTGGCGCACCAGCTGCAGCTCAAGGCCAGGGCGGCAGCTGCCGCGGCAGCTGCCGAGGCGCCCGCCGCCAGCAGCGCCCCCCACCCCTCGCAGCACCAGCAGCACCACACCTACAGCGCGCCGCAGGCGGCTCAGGGCAGCAGCTCGCAGGCAAGCGGCGTGTATGCCAGCAGCGTCGCGCCTGCCCAGCCCGCCGTGCCCGGCCCCGCCACCACCGTCCACCAAAACCCGCTCTACGCCGCCGCCAGCGAGGCCTCCGCCTCCGCCCCTGCCCCCGGCGGCGGGGTCCGGCAGCGGCCTGCTGCGCGGCCGCGCATGCCGCCGCCGGTACGGACGGCGCCGCCCGGCGGCGCCGCCGCCGCCTCGGCGCCGCCCACGCCGCCGGCGGGCGCCTCGCCGGCCTCCTCGGGCGCCTCCCCACACGGCGGCACCCTGCAGGCCGCCTCCAACCTCACTCTGGCCAGCGACAGCCGCCCCATCAGCCCGGGGCCCTTCCCGTCCACTCTCCCATCCAACCTCACCAGCTGCAGCCGCCCCGTCAGCCCGCAGTGTATGGACAGCACGCCGCCCACCCCGGGCTCCTTTGCGCCGCCAGGCGCCTCCGCCGCGGCGCGCGTCACCGCCGCAGCGCCATCCCCGATCCGCACTGCGGCGCCGGCAACTGGCGCTGCGCAGGCGCAGGCCCGCTCCCTGCCCGCGTCCCCCTCCCCGGCGGCGCCGGCGGCGGCGGCACCCCCGGCGGGTTCCTCGCCGGCCGCGGCGGCGGCCGCGGCGGCGGCCGGCGCCTTCCGCCTGCCTATCTTCAACCAAGACGGACGCCTAGTGGGCTACAAGCAAAACAGGTGGGGTGAGGCTGGTGGGGCTGGACAGGGCTGTGCCGTGGCCCTGCCCTGCACGGCTGGCTGCACGGCTGGCTGCTTGGCTGGAGGCGCAGTTGTGTGTGTGTGTGTGTGTGTGTGTGTGTGTGTGTGTGTGTGTCCCTCTCTCTCTCTTGGCAAGCAGGGCAGCAGCCCGGCCTGCTCCCGAACAAGCCGCTCGCTCACGCCTGCCCCCTGCTGCCCCCCCGCTTCACGCCTGGTGCAGCAACCTGGTCGCCCGCCCCGGAGCCTGCATCAGCTCTGCCCCCTCCTCCCCCTCCCGCACCCTGGCCCACTCCCTAGACACCTTCCAAGCCTGCTCCTCGCCCCCTCCCTCCCAGGCTCCCGCTGCCGGCGCCGCCGCCGGCGCTGCCGCCGGCAGCGGCCCCGCAGCAGCAGCGCCAGCGCCGCCAGCAGCCGCGGGCGGCCTGCCAGCCAGCATCAGCGCCGGCTGGGCCGAATTTGCGGCAGACCCCTGCAAGGGCTTCTCTGATGCGGACAACATGGTGCCAGGTGCGT